ATTTGAAAGGTTTAGACCACATTCTGGTCCATTAGGTGGGGTTAATCTCATAGCCTATGTCGTTCCCCCATTTTTTATTACATATAGGGGGTTTGTGGGATTTTGAAGTAGTATTTTGTATACTGCAGATACCGTCCCTTTGTTGTGTCCCTTTGTTGTTAGGAGGTTTTCGAAGGTTGTCAAGGGCCCAGTTGCAGCTGATTTTACTACTCGAAACCTGGCAAATCAAAGGCTTATACCACCTAACAGACTTCTACAAAAATAACAAACCCATATTAACACAAGAAATAAAAGACAAACTAGGGGACACCCAAATGCCCTGGCTAACACATCACCAATTACATGCCTTCTTAAACAATTCAGAGACAGTTGTTGACTAACAATGTGATGAGTATGATCGTTAGGCAAGTGCCATTTAAATGTTAAGTGCAAGAAGAAAGGTGGTCTCTCTCTTTTTCTAGCAATACTCTTATTAACACATGTCCCAAATTTATATTAGGGTCACATTCAGTAAGAAGAGTTTGGTTAAACAGTTGGAAATCATGCTTATGTGAGCTAAGGCCCAATAATCTGTCCAAATAAATTGCTCATGTAAAAATTAAGTGTTATCATCTGGCTGTGAACATTGAATTTAGAAGAAGACTAGGCAAGATCCAGCCAAAGTCTCATTCATTTCAGTGGGAGGGTTAAACATGCACTTAGCTCTACTTCACTGACATCAAAAGGATATTCCATTCCTATTGATTTTTATTTCAAGACAATTTCCACTGAATTCAATGGGACCTCTTTGGGACTAGGTATGCATTGGATATTCGCTCCGTGTTTTATGGAGACTGATCTTTTAAAGCACCATACCAAATGTTTTATATGTTGCAATGAAAACCATACCTGCACACTTCTTAGGATTTAGGACAACAGTTCTGGCATCATGTAGTTTTTGCTATGCAATTTAGTTCAGTCATTCTTTCTCCCTTGGAATTGATGGTATTTTATCATATGAATGGTAAAATCCTAAATTCTTTTCCACCCATCTACCAATTATCTGCCTGAATAAATATTAAATCCAAGTGTGCAGCTGAGTTTTAATAGCTAACGGTCCATCAAATTACTAGGCCTAAATGCTTAAAATAATCCCCAAGTATGAAACTTGAAATAAAACAGTAGTCCTAAAAACAAAACAAAAAACAAGAAAAATAGTATGTTATCATAGATGGATATTTAATACCTTAAGTATAGTTTCAGCAAAGGTTTGGACCAAACCTGGCTTGCCTGAATAGAATACACTATACAAACTCACAGCACAGAAAGGAGCCTTGGTTACAGTTTCTTTTTAAAAACTAGTTTACAGAAATGTTAACAGGTATTACCATAGAGCAAAGTAGCCCCAAGGAGGGATTTTTAATACATGTCATACAAGATATATTTATGCAGCCAGTAACACACAGGTTTTAAGAATACTTTACTGGCTAAAGAATTAAGGCACGCAGCACAAGTGTCATGTGTAGGCCATTGCCTGTTACCTCATCTGTAAACAATATGCTGTAGTAATTTAATGTTAAATAGCAATTATCTTTTTAAAATATCAAATATAATGGGAGAACAGTGTACACTGTTCCCTAAAGATCAAGCTCATTTTCTTTTGCCAACACTTAGTCTACATTTTAGCCTTCTTAAAATTAGCTCACAGCATTTTATGTATTCTACTACACCCATTCTGCATTTAAGGGAATAAAATCTGACGTACCATGAAGCAATTTCACCCAAGCATACAGTTACAAACCATTTGAGCAAAAGAAAATAGGAAGCTGTTACGCGTAAACTCCTCAGCTTCTACTCATAGTGATAGAAATCTCCAGCAGGCTGGGAAATACCATGTCAGGTTGTAAGCATAGAAGGGGACATTTCGAAGTGTTTAAATGTATGCTAAAAATACAACTGTTTCGATTCCAATAAGGCAATTAAATTTACCTTTAACCTAATAAAACTGACACTCTGAGAAACATAAGCAACCTCCCCCTTTTATACACAAAATGGCCTCCTCCAGTATTGGGCTTTAAAAGTGCAATAGCACACATAAGGAGAACATTTCATCGTCCCTTGTTGCACAGAGTTGACTGGCTGTAGGTAGATGACTTTCAGGTTCAATCAACCTTGCTCTTAGCTCTCTTATTAGTCTGCCTACAAGCAAGACATAATCATACTGCACTCGTATACTATATATTCTACAGCATCCCCCCCCAAAAAAAATCAATACTTGACTTTTAATATATTCTCTCAGTTCAAAGTACTGTATTCTGCACAATTTACACATAAGGACTGAAAATCTGATCTGTTTTCTCCAAGTAGGTAATTATAAAGTTTTTCTGGCATACAAAAGGGCACAAACTTTTAATTTAAAACAATTCACACTGTTGCAAGAATCCTTTTTTTTTTCAAAGAAAATAAATGTATCAGTCATCAGGCTTCCTGAAACGTTTTCTTATGGACTTTTCCAAATTTCGCAATAGAAGTCTCCGAGAATCAAACCACTTACACAGAACCCGTGGAATGAGACAGCCATACCTTACCAGAAAAATCTCACGCTATAATTCACCAGAAACTATTACATCAAACCACAAGACATGTAGATAAAGGTTTAAAGACCACTGACTGTTGTCGACAGAAAGGCCAGGCAACAAATCTGGACGGACCCAGTTACTGACCCCACCTGCAATTGCCAGATTCAGAGGCAGCGGCTACAAGACACTTCAGTCCGGTTTTGCAATGTTATGTATTGAAAGAAGAGAAAAAGAAAGCCTACATACTCTCTCACCCAAGAATCAGCTGAGAGAAAGCGGCCGTGCTCCGCTGTCACCCGAGCAACAACGAGAAAATATGCTTAATTAACCCAACGATACTCCCTTTCAAGCCCCCTCCTTTTACCACCCATCACCACTGCATTTCGGCAGCCTCGGCTTGTGAAAAATAGCTGTTTTATTTAAAAGCACACACAACCCTGGTCATCATGCAGCTTTAAAGGAAAACTAAGTAATTCCTACCTTTTGCAAATGACATTTTAGAGCTTTATGGGGGGATACTCTTGTTTTATAAATATAGAAAATATTTAAGACACGCTTCTCCCCACAAAAATTACAAGAAACGCTCGGAAAAATAGGAAGGTTGGTTTGGGAGGTTGTTGTTGTTGTTTGTCCTTGCCGCTCTGCTTCGTGTATATCTCAGTTTAAAAGCATCGAGAATAGGTTAAAAATATATATATTAAAAACCAAAATAAACTCCCCCGCAAAAAACCGCTAAAAGAATTTTCACGTAAATTTCCTGTCGTGCCCGATTTCCCCGACCCTTCTCTACATCTGCCCTCGGAAATAAATGAATAGGGCAAGCTGGTTAAGAGGGGAAAACCACAAAGAATTTAAATTTCCTCAATGAAAGAGGCGGGCCTAAAACTGTGTCTCGCCACCCCTTCGCCCTCCCCTTTCCCCGCGGAGGGCCGGGCGCCTCTCCAGCCTCCCTGATTCGCGGCGCCCCGCTGCAGGCGGCTCCCCGGGGGGAATCTCCCCTTCCGGATTGGGGCCAGGGGCTCCCCCGCCAAGCCCTGCTCGGAAGGGCTGCCGTGAACTTAGGGGGCTCAGCGCTTCTTCTCCGCGTGCCAAAGGGTGGCTGGGGGAGCACAAGGCGAGGATGACCGGCAACTCCTCCTGCCTGCCCGCCCGCCCGCCCCGAGTTTCAAGGGAAATCTTCGAATAGTAAACCTGCTTTTTCCAAAGGTGGTGCGTTCACTCCTCCAGCAGCTCAGCAGCTGCTCTTGCCCCCTTAAAGCCCTGCTTCCCTGGATAGGAGGTGCGCTATTGGGATCTGCGGGTGTCCCCTGAGTAAAATACAAGACAGAAACACACACGATAAAATGTCCGCCCAGCTCCCCTCTCTCCTCTATATCCTAGAGGCGTTGGACGGACATTTTAGCATTTTTTTGGGGGGGGGTGGGTCTTGTCTTTACTCAGGAGCAAGCCCCGCAGAGGTTGGCATTGTTTTACAGTAAGGCCACGTGTCCTGAATTTTGAAAAAGGATCGGCTGAAAAGCTCCTGCGAAACTGCCACGGGCGGACTTTGCTGAGCGGAGGCCAACGCGCCGGCTTCCTCCCACGCGGTGCGCAACTCCTGCCTCGCACTGGCTCAGCGCAGGGCGCAGAGACGCGGCCCCTTTTCTCCGGCACCCGCATCCCGGAGGCTCACTTGAACCATCTGTACTGAGAGAAGCTGCAGAAGGCGGCGCAAATGTGTGGCGGGGCGGCTGTTGTGCGTTTCGGGGGGGGGGGGACGGGGGACACGCGTTTCCTCCGCCCGGGCAAGCGGAACGCGGCCAGCGCCATCATTGCGGAACACCAACCCCCCCCCGCCGCTAGAATTCCTTGGCACAGAAAGAGCTCCGTTCCTGGCGGCGCCCTCCCCCCGGGGCAGAACCCGCCTCTGCCAAGGCGGAGGCAGCGGGGGGGGGGTCACGAGATGTCTCTGGCGCCCTCTTCCCGGGTCTCCCCACAGGAGGGGAAATGGCGGGGGACAGAGTGACGCGGGAGCAACCCTCGCCCCCAAGCCCACCCCCCCCAAGCCCTCCTCCGGCCGCCCAAGGCGCCGCCTCGCTATTTGTAGCCGCAGAAGAACCCGCCATGGCGGGCACCACACGCCCGCAGGCGGGAGCTGCGTGACGGGGAGGCGCCATCCACGGAGGGAGGGGCAATGGCGGCGGAGACCCCCCCCCGACCCCGCTCTTGCCGAAGCCAGTAGATAGTCGTTACCTCCTTTCCGCCCCTTTTCCAATGTTTCACCTATTTCCCGGGGGCGGGCGGGGGGAGGCACTGCTTGTGGGTGGGAAAGTATATTTAGCTATACTGTGTATCTCATAGGAAGCTCGGGGCTCCTCAAAGGGGCTGGAGGGGGACGAGGAGCGGCCGCCCCAGAAGAAGCAGCTGAGGCAAAACAGCAGCGCGGCCGCCTCCTCCTCCTCCTCCTCCTTCTTCTTCTCCGGCCCTCGCGAACGGAAGCGCCCTCTCCGCAGGCCTTGAAGGGCAGCGCCGCCTGCGCGACGCCGCCAATCAGAAAGCGGGCCAAGCCAGGAGGGCGGGCCTTTCGGCGGCCTTCGCTTCTTTGCCGGCGCGAGGCGCTTCTCCTTGGCTGACGTGGGCTTCGGCCTCCAGGAGCGAAGAAAGACCCCGCGAGCCTTTCCCCCGCGTGGAGGGGCGTCGGAGGGGTCGCCGCCGGCCGATATAAAGTGGTTTTCTTCCGAGACAGGCGCCTTGACTTCTCATCCTTTCGGCGCCTGCTAAAAAAACCTTTTGGTGAGGCCAGGGTCAGCTTAGAAAGTTGAGGTGATTTTAAACCTTTTCGGTATTTTAATTTTTGTCATGTTTTACAGGAGGTTTGTGATTCCTTTTTCGATTCTCCTGTCTTGGCGGAGGGTTTGTTTGCTTTACAGTCAAGCTGTGTATATAAATTTTACGAAACAAATAAATTATTGGTTATTATTTGTTTCACAAAATTTATACACCGCTTGATTATTTTTTTAAAATCCTCCATACGGTTTACAAAAAGACAAGACGACAATACTTTAAAGAATACAATAACGTTTAAAATTCAGCTCATCACAGTCTCCAACATGGCTTCAGGCGACCCTGATAGAAAGGAGAAACTTAGCTAAATGCCATACACATATTGATGATGTAACGCAATGAACCATAAACAAGAAAGCAACATTTTAAAAAAATTAAGGTTGCAACTCTAAAGTACACTTATATTGGAGTAAGGCTTTTAGGTAGCATTTCTATGCACAGGTTTATCGACAGGTTTCTTTACCTCTTCCTGGCAGGTGTCCTAATGTAGCTGGGCTGCTATTAGTGGAATGGAGGAGAGCGAGGGACAAGTCTGCAAGGCGGGTTGTGCTTATGCAAGATTCGTCTCTTCTGAAAGCCTTTTCTCCCCCTTTCTCTTTGGCAGTAAGACGTAGTCCAGAACCACTCTCCTTGTGTCTTACTCTACTCACTAAAATAGCTGGAATGTCTTATTTATGAGACCTAAAAGCTATTCATAATATTATCACACAATATATTTATGATGTTCTTGGGCAGTGCTATGTTGCAGCAATCTTTGTGTTGGACAACAACTCTTACTGCAAACTCAAAAAATATATTTTGGGTTTTGCAATGGCAGTTAAAAGATCGCTAAACCTCTTGCCATGCCCCCATATATAGAAGAAACTTATTTGTTTCTTCTATATATGTGACTAAGAAGAATGGACAGTTTCTTAAAACAGTCCCAATCCAATGCTAATATTTAATGATATGTTGTAGTATTTTAAAATTTCATTAAAGGTTTCAGATCAAATTAAATGGCAGCATTCCTATTTGTTTAAAACTAATATTTAATGTGTCAATTAAATTAAATTTAATGTTTCAATTATTTAAAACCAATAATTCATGTTTCAATTAATTATAAAATCACTGGGTTTACTGATGGATCCAGCTTGTAATTGTGGTCCATGAGGCCTTTGCGGCATGTAGCACCTTCCATCAGCTAAGGCCATTGCACCAGCTACAATCCTTCCTGATCAGAGAATGCCTGACCACAATAATATGGGCCTGCTTTTGAAGATGCCTCAGGAGTTTAGACTTCAGCTAAATGAAACCAACTTTAAAGAACATCTACCAGTCCTGAAACTGTTTTACTGGTATGTTTCCTAGCACAATTCAGACAAGTGGTGCTTACCTTAAAGTGCTGTGTAGCCTGGTAATAGAAGGACTGGCTTTTCTGGGTCTCTCCACCTACTGAACTTAGACAGATGGCAAGAGTTGAGGGCACACTCCACTATGAAGTCCTGTTTATGAAACTCATTCCCCAGGGAGACTTACCTGGCACCTGATCTTATGTCTTTCTAGTCTTTTTATTTTCCCCAAGTCTTTTTTTAAAAAACCTCTGTCTGTGTGTTTTTCTGCCTCTACTGTTTTTCCCCTGCTTTATTTTTTCTGTTATTTATTGTTTAGATTGTTTGTAGTGATTTAAATGCTACCCTGAGATGGTTCTTTCCTATTGTAGAGCAGGTTACAACTTTCTTATAATAAATGAACTGGTAAATTCTATTCAGGAAAGTCATTCAGTCCATCTCCAAGGGCAGATAGCTAAACCAGATCCCCAGCCCTGCAGAAGCTGGCCAGAAGAGCCTAAAATCTAAGCCTTGGCCAGGTAACTCTCTTCCCAGGGCAACAGCCCTTTCCCGACATGTAGCTCTCATAACAATAATAATTGCACCAAGCAGGAAAACAGAGCCACCCTCACTAGCCTCATCCCCACCATGGTGTCCCTGTTCTCCATGTGTTGTGATTACATCCTCTGCTTTTTTCCTTGGCGGAAGCAGGGGGGTGCATACCCCTAAACATCCTTGTACTTTTGCCCATTTACTGTATTTATTTTCTCCGATTTGAACTATAAAATGATGATTTTCTTGAGTCAAAATGAGACTACCCCTAAACATTTTTTTAAAGAAAAAAAGCACTGGTTACATCTGTAGAAGTGTCTCTTCCCTGCATGTAGGCTCCCCTTGGATGTAGAGCTCTGCCACGTATGAGAAAAACCTATGAGGGCTATAAAGTTCTAAGTTACACCTAATTGATATTGAAGCCCAGCATCAGTAGCTGAGGTTCAGGGGGATTAGTGGTCTTGTGTGTCACCTTTGAGTGATGCCAAAGGGCACTAAAGGGTGTGGAGCTCTGGACTGATACTCGGAGCAGGCTTTTAGGAATGAGCTGGTCAATTTTCCACTCCAGAAATTTCCTTCTTCAATCAATGCTCGGTTGCCCTCAACTTTCTGTGATTCCTGTGTCTTCTTAACCCTCATCGGAAAATTCTGGGAGCATTATTTAATCTGCAAAGCTTCAGCAAAACATATGTGCCTACCTGGTTATGATTCCTTTATCTGACACTGTAGCAGGGATGGGGGAAGTTGTGGCCCTCCCACCCATCCCAATTAGCATGGTCAGTAGTCAGGAATTATGGGGCTTGTAATCCAACAATACCTGGAGGGTTGCAGGTTCCCTCATCCCTGCACTAAACTAGTAAAGTGGGTTGCAGCAGATGTTTCTATTAACCCCAAGCCTGTTTCATTAAGTCACAGTGATGCAGCATGTTTGTAAACCCATATTTTCCACATACGTGTGACCTGTTGTAGGCTGAAGCAGCCATTCCCATGTGCACTGTATTGATTCTGTAATTTATGACTGTGTGAATATGCCCTCTAATCTCCTCCCTGATAAAACCTCACAACTATTCAGAGAATGGACATATGACAAATTGTTTATGCCTGTTCTTTTGGCCAGTCTACTTGATCACATCATTTTGGGATCTTGCCTGATGAGAGAAGAAGTTCCATTGAGGGAGGCTTTAAAGGGAGGAGTAGAACATTACAGTCTTTACTTAGCAATTATATTTGGATGTAATGGCTCCCAGAGAGCTAGATTCATTATGTGTGCATCTGTTTTGCCTTCCTGCAGCAATCTCAAGTGGTATATAGTATATTTATTAAGAGAATAACAAATAAAGTTTTGTGACAAATACATGTTAAAATGTAGACAAGTTCAAATTCTAGCCTGCCTTAATATTAGATCCAGAAAGCACGTGAGTGAAGCATCTTCTGCCTTCTTCTCTAGGCACAGTTAGTCCTTTCATAGCAGATTTATTGCATGGAGGGGAAGTCCGCCAAAAAACCATAAATTTAAAAGCTACAAATTTCTACACTCTAAAGCTTGTCTAACACCTTGTTCATGTTTTCTTCCTTATTCCAGCACCAATTCTGTATTTAAATCTACACAGATCCTTATATGAATACACTGTAAAAGATAAATAAAACAGGTCATTGCTTTCAATGTATCCATGTGGCTACATCCCCTTATAATTTATCACCTTCTGTTCAGAAGACACATTTGCTTTTCCCCAGTAGATTTGCACACATCTTATTCAATACATAGTCACTTTGGGATTCAATACATGCTGCAGGAATTCACTTTTCAACACACACACACACATACCCCAATCAGTTGACTTGCTCTCTGGACATGCTGTGAGTATTATACACGACTATATTGATATGTGCAAATCTAATGAAGAGTCAGCATAGGTTAGCATAAATGTATTTGAAAAGGTCATGTGAATCAGTCGTAACTAAACAAAGAAAGCTTTCCAGGCATCATTTACAAAAGTCACATTGGACCCTAACATGGTTTAAGAGCTCCAAAGAAGGAACTCCAGGAATCTGGAGGAACTTCAATAAAAGAGGAATCCACCACATTAGCTTCAGGCACCAACTATCAAGACAAAGGAAGATTTGTATAATTTAGTGTGTTAAGAAGGTGCATGGGTGTGAGAATAGGTGTGCCTGCTCCTGGTAAATTCAACACACAGAGAGAGACAGAGACAGAGAGAGAGACGAAAAGGAGGCCTTGAAAAGAAAGTTATGAACTACAGAACTAAACCTAGTGCTGTGAAGTTGCCAGTGGCGTTGTACTATTTGTATTTTTAAAGGTTCTTTAATTCTCTGACATTTAACAGCTTCATATAAAGTACAAGCATTGGCTTTCATCTCATTACATAATTTTTATTTTATATTCCTGAGCTATTCTCTGAGGAATCTCTGAGAACACCATTCTTGCAAACTAAAAATAGTGTCAAGGAACACTCAGAAGCAAGCAGCTAACCATTTACATCCAGGTTGCTTGAATGATCCAGAATCCATTACCCTTACCATAAAGCGTGGTGATTAATAATTAAAGGAAAGCCAAATGCTATTCAAGGTTTCATATTTGAATGTGCAAGTTGTGAGATGGAAAAGTATTGTGTGTGTATGTATATATGTGGGGGGGGGTATGTGTGTATAAAGGTTCTGTGCTCTGTTTTATAATCCTCTTTGACAGCTGCGTTAAGTGAAACACAATTTTAACACCAATAATTGACCTAAAAATATCCACAACTATAAACAGGAATAGCATTCGTAGATGAGCCTTTATTTCTTCATACATACTGTCTATTGTTTGACGTAGAAATTGATTGGGATCTCTCATGTTTCTATCCAACACCACTGTCTAACTACATAACAGTTTAGGGATGTTGGAAGCCATCCAGACTGGCTGGGGAAACCTAGCCAGATGGATGAGGTTTGTATGTTTGTTTGTTTGTTTGTTTGTTTATAGGAGGAGCTAGTCCATGCAAAGTGGACTAGACTATGAAGCGGGTGGAGAATCAGTACTTAAGGCAGTCAAGAAAAGTTACTGATGATGATTACAGATTGTTGAACATAGAAAAGAAAACATCAACGTTTTCTATATAACAGAAGTGAGCCAAAAATGCCTGGAGTGGGGTGGGGGGAGATTCAGATTGTCAGATCTGTATACTTGACCGTACATGCATTTTTATGCAAAGTTTTTAGGAATGTGGAGGTGGGGGAGAACCAAAAGTGGGCAGAAAAAATGAGGATGCTAAAAATACTCATGGCAGTTTAAGCATTTATTCATCTACTGCCAATCAGCACAGCAGCATTCCTCTGATACTTAAAAACTCCCCTCCCCAGGGCCTTTTATGACAGTTTTCAATAGTACTACAGTACATAGAAACAGTAAAACTTTTCCTCCAAGACAATCATTGGCAAAAGTAGAGTAGGAGGCTTCGGGTATCATTTTCCCTTGTGAAACTAGACATTTTCTAAAGAAAGGGGCAGCAAAATACACCCGTTTGTGCTCTCTTTAACTAGAAATGCACTTTCTATCACACACTTAAAGCTACTTAAAGCTACTCGACAGCAGTCTCTGATCAGATTAGATCAGAATTCTCCTTTTAAAGCCATGAATTTGCAAAATGAGAACAGGTTCCGGGAAGTAAAACGCATTTCTAAACTGCCTATCAGTTCCTGGTTCATAGTCGCCTCCTTCAAAAAGCAAATAAACACTAGTGGCAAGAGAGCAACTGAAAGGAATTTCCTCTAGTTTTATATTCCCAAGGGAGTGATTAGCACAGTTAATTAGAACCCCAAATCGGATTAAAGGGATCGAAATAAGCAGTGTGACTTTCAGAGTCTCTGAGCACAGCTGAACATGTTTTTTGTATGTTAACAAACCTGAAATATTCAGCAGTAGCAGCAGACTAAATCTGGAAGGCACTCTTATTAAATTGACAACTTTGTTTTGCATGGGGCTCAGTGCAATGGCACAGCTCTCTTTTCCCTGCAAGTTTTCATTTTTGGTTTCATTGGCCATCAATCTGCATCCTCCACAATGTATGAGACCGAGTGTTCTGTAGCATAATAGTCATCCCCCACAAAAAATAGCAGAGAATATTATGGGGGCAGGGAATGCAAACTTTCATTTTCTTCTAGGGGGAAGGATAGGTAAGAAAGTCTCTTGACATTTTATTTTTAAAAATGTGGATTCACCATTAGCAAAAATTGGGAGTCATGAGGATGTGGGTTCACATGCATTTCCCTCCATTATTCAGCACTGTTTCAAAGTAAACATGTACAGTCTTGTTCTGTTAAGGTACAATAATCCTGGAACTCTAAGATAATGACTAGGTGTAGAGTCCCTGGCAACAAGATTGCCTCTTGTATCCATGGGTTTGATTTACGGAAAAGCATCCTCACCATTCTGTGATTTTTCTTCCAGTTCAAACAGTTTCAGAAGGATGAAGTAGGAGGAACATTCAAATCTGACAGTGGCTGGGTACTTCCAATAACACCTGGGCACTTCTGGTGCTTGGTGGGTGCTGGTGATGATTGCCAAGCACTTTCGATACTAGATGTGCATTGGCCGTGAACTCACAGTAGGAAGAGGAAGCCACAGAGAGCACCAAGAGCAGTGTATGTGGGCCATGAAGGTGACAGCTGTGCTTTTAAGGTTGCACAGGTGACCACAGCAGCTGGGTTTGCAACAGGACACTCAAGGACAGTGAGTTTGGTAACAGGCTATCCCTAGGGAGAGGGGACATGGTCTGGGATGCATTAGAAAAACTGAAAGGCTGTTTTTTCCCACCCCTGGTGTGAGGTGTTGAAATTGTGTTGTTTCTGCAGCAAACTACAGTGGTACCTCAGGTTACATATGCTTCAGGTTACAGACTCCGCTAACCCAGAAATAGTGCTTCAGGTTAAGAACTTTGCTTCAGGATGAGAACAGAAATCACACTCCGGCGGCGCAGTAGCAGCAGGAGGAGGCCCCATTAGCTAAAATGGTGCTTCAGGTTAAGAACAGTTTCAGGTTAAGAACGGACAGTTTCAGGTTAAGAACAAATGGACAAATCTCTGAATAAGTGCAAATAATTCAGCTTGAGGACGGGGAGAGTAAGAAACATGAAGAACGTGGCACTAAAGTACTTGGCAGTACTAGCAGGGAAGGTGGAGCCATTTCTCGGAAATGAACTCGTTGGAAATGAACTCATTCATGGACTAGCAGTCAATGAAGTCAGTATTTGCAGAACAAAATATTTTTTCTTCCTCAGGGAGATATTTGTACAACAAAAACAGAGTGTACAGTAGGCATAGACCAAGGAGTAGCGTTCTCTTTTTCTACTGGCCTCAGGGTTTTTAGTTGAGGCAACTGAAACAAAAATAAAGTAAGGCAGAAATTTATTTAGAAAAGGAGTTGCTGGCATTTAATTGCAACTGATTATTTGGCATGTTGAATAATAATAACAACAACAACAACAACAACAACAATTTATGAAAAGACAGAAACTAGGACCTGGCTTATATATGACATAGGGGTGCCAGGGTGTGGGTGGGTTGGTGTGTGAAAGGGGGCAAACAGCCTGCAGGCTCCACTCAGCTGTAGGCCTCGAATGTATTATTTCAGTCATCTGAGAGAGATGAAAAAGTCATTGTAACTTGTGCTCAGTTACTCAGTGAAACCTAGCCAATGGATCTGGGCTACAGAGTGATAGGTGAAGCCTTTCAGCTATTTATTAACATTAGAAATGGTTCAAGATTGCACTGCAAGTTCAGCAAAAACGACATTGATGGCATGAAACCATCCCCCCACCCCCCACCAAAGCCTAGGAAATGTATTGCATGCTCAGTTGCAAAACCAACAAACTTTTATCTGTAGCGGAAATGGATCTGCTTGAAAAGTCAGGTATCTGAAGAAGTGTGCATGCACACGAAAGCTCATACCAAGAACTAACTTAGTTGGTCTTTAAGGTGCTACTGGAAGGAATTTTTTTTTGTTTTTTCTAAAAGTTATGTAATTCAAAATGTTACTTCAACATGTTATCCTGGCCTAGAGAATAGGGCAGATTCTCAAACTTATGTATGTGTAAATAAGAGCCTTTGTAAATCCAAAGGATGAGTCCTGATGGTGCTATAATGTGTTAGGTAGCACTTCCAGGTCTAATTTCACAACTCAGCATAGGCAATTATTTGAAAGCACCACACTCAAAAGATTTCTTCCCGCTATGTTGCTTCCAGTACCAGCACTTCACAATGGTTGTGTCCAGGAAAGCACATTAAAAAATAGAAATCAATTCTGTTTATGCATTTAAAAAGCCAGTATAGATTATTTGTGGCCTGGAGACACAGGAAGAATTAGAAATGTCTTTTGCTTGTTTGCACTGTAGACTTAGCAAACACTTTATGAACAGTGTGCTGTTTTGCTTCAAGTGTGTGGTAAAACTTTCAGAGGCTGATTTAATTAATATTTGTGTGTACAGATCTGTATTCATGTTTACAGACTTTTCTGGGGAAAGTCAATATGGATTTTTATAAGCAACTCAGCAGTATTTCCCTGTTAACATACAGTAAATATGTGACATAGGATGTGGGTGGCACTGTAGTCTAAACCACAGAGCCTATGGCTTGCCAATCGGAAAGTCGGCAGTTCGAATCCCCACGATGG